GTACGGAGAGAAGATGAGCTTGACTCCGCAGAGGCAACAGAAAGGAACAAAGGAAAGAAGGAATATTCTAGAGAACAGGAGAGAGAGAGAAGAACCTTGTTGGTTAGTCCCAACAGATCCCAAAGAAACTCTGGTGCAAAGAAATGTCCAAGTGCAGTGTTAAACTGGTCAGAAGGCTCTCCTAAAACGCCCTACCATTCTATATCTCTACCCAGACCTATTAGCAGCAAGTTGGTGAGTACTCTTTTGGTGGAATACTGAACTCCCTTGAAAAATGTTTTTCAAGCCATGCTAAATAGTCTTATGTTATTTTGTTAATGACCTTTGAATGTTAATTGCATTATTTACTATAGAGAAATACAGTACTGCATTAACCTTAACCTTAAATGTGTTATATTTTGGTAATAAAGTGCATTTCATGCTGAAAATAATCCATGTCATAGTTAATAATGTTTCCTTATTGTATAGTATTTTGGTAATTCAAAATTTCAATTTCAGTTCCCAATTTAGTCATCTGTGTAAATACTAGTGCGTTACTTTTCTTAAATTCTGCTTAGACAGATGTCAATAGTAAATATTTAGTGTTCTGTTTACTAATGTTTACATCTTTGTTCCAGTTAAAACAAAAACAAAAAACTTATAACAGAAGGGTTCATGAGGCAGCTTTATTAGTGTTGATATTTATGTAACTTGAGCACTGTAAATATCTATTTGTTGTTTATCTCTTTGGCCATGGCTGTTAAAATGCATTGCCTTTTCCAATTATTCATACAAAGTCAACTGTTTGGACTTCAAAGAGGGATGGGGTGTGTTTGCCCTATTCACCTCTCCCATCTGCAAGGGAAGAGAACCAGTTTTAATGATTCACATGGTCCTGTTTCTTGGCTGGAACTGCTCTTTCCTAAATGCCATTCACCAAAGGTAGCCTGTTCACAAGTGGGAGAACCCCTAACACCTGCCATTGATTGCTGACTGCATGAAAAGAACTGAAATACCACAATAGGATGGGTTCCTGGATTAGAATTCTGAGCAACACTTTATAATACAGCCTGCATTTTAGAATGTAACTTTCTGTCATTTACCGTGTAAGTTCATAGAATTAATAGTGTAACTTACCATAAATTCTGGGAAATTAAATGGAAGGTAGTGGGGGGAGTTTGCAAGGGCTGGTACTAAGTTGGTCTGGAAACACAAATAACGCAAAGGTACGTTTTCTTTCTATTCCAGTCTGCTTGTTATGAGCTGCCACAGTGCTGGATGAATATGCCTGCTAGGAACAAATTTTTGAATGTATACAGCCATTTCTCAACATGTTCTTATACACAATCATACAGTTAAGTAGAAGACATAAGCATAATAAAGTCCCTGGAGTATGGGTGAAGCTTGCCTTCTAAACTCACATGCAAAAAAAATTATTGTCACAACTGCCATGAGCAATATTGGCAGTAGAATGGGTCATGCTGTTGAGTTCAGTGACTAAACATGGCACTGTCATAGGATGCCTCCTCTGCCACAGGTCAGTTTGTGAAATTTCGGTTAAGCTAGATCTGCCCCTCTCAACTGTAAGTGCTATTATTGTGAAATGGAAGCATCTAGGAGCAACAACAGCTTAGCCGCAAAGCAGTAGACTCTGAAACTCACAGAGTGGGCCTGAAGCACACAGTGCCTATCCTCTGTTGAATCATTCACCAAAAAGTTCAAAATTGCCTCTGGAAACAGCACCAGCCAAAGAACTGTGTGTCAGGAGGGATAATGCTATGGTTTGTTTTTCAGGGGTTGGCTGAGGCCCCTAAGTTCCAGTGAAGGGAAATTGTATTGCTACAGCATACCAAGACATTTTGAACAATTGTATGCTGCCACCTTTGTGGGAACAGGTCCATAAATGCATGGTTGGGTGAGTTAGGTGTGAAAGAAGTTGACTGGTCCGCACACAGCCCTGGCCTCAACACTATCAAACACGTTTGGGATGAACTTGTACAAAGATTGCAAGCCAGGCCCTCTCGTCCAACATGAGTATCTGAACTCACAAGTGCTCTTTTGGATGAATGGGCAAAAAGTCCTAGAGACGCAGAGGGGGGACCAACTTCATATGAATGCCTCTGGATTTAAAATGGAATCTAACAAAAGCTCCTGTAGGTGTAATGTAGGTGTCCCAATATTTTTGTTCATACAGTATATATGCAAGATAGTTGTACCATAAGTTCAGGGAAATTACACAGTAAATGTCAGAAAGTTACACTTTTACATCATCCCCAATTGTTACTCTCTTACTCCTCATTTTCCACTGCTGTACCTACATTTAAGTACCAGTAGGAACCAATGAGTATTTATATTTTTACTGATTTGTATGGGGAAGTTACACTGTATGTTCTGGGAAATTACAAGGTAACATGGTAAATGACAGAATGCATTGTAAGGTGTTACCTAATTCTATCTGTGCCTTTTTCTTAGTGTATATATGTGCATATATGCGCACATTTGTGTGTGTGTGTGTGTGTGTGTGTGTGTGTTTGGACTTGCTTCCTTTTTGATTAGAAGAATTTGTCTGAATTATATTACTGAACTGTGGCTCTTTCACTAAATACTCTCATAAAAATGTGTGTATGTGTATAAGAGAGAGAAGGGGAGAGAGAGAGAGAGAGAGAGAGAAAGAGAGTGTAAGTGTGTGTATATACATGGATAAGGTAGTGGTGGACAGACAAGCAAGCTTTTGAGGTGTGTATCTTTAATTCATTGTGTGTACATGGTATGTCATAGTGTCTGTTTTATCCACTAGGCTGAATGCTAGGGTGCAATTCTCAATGGTAAACAGTGAGAAAATATATTCATTTGCATAAAGATAGTTAGTAGCCATGGTCCAGCAGGTGCTTTTAAAGGTACACCGGCCATAGCTGAATTAGAGGTTGTATATAATTACATATCTATGCATAGGTGTTATTTAAAAGTCTGTTTACTCTTTTGATCAATGTATATTGCATTCTGCTGTCCTCACATGTTCATATTACTAGATTTAGAAATACACTCAAGCAAAAAAGTTTGTGGAGATTAACAAGACCTTGCCCATATTCCCACACAGCAGAGAAGAAGTCTGGGTTCTGTATCATCAGACGAATACAGGGAAAGATTTTGTTTTGGTTGGATCTACTCAAAGTGCAGACAGTGTAAGCTCTCTTGTCGCCTAGCAAGACAGCGCTGTCAGTACACCAGTGAGTCATCCTACTATGCGTGTGTGGTGTGTGTATGTGTACTTGAATTTTTCCTAGATCTCCACCACCAGTGCTAGGGACTATACTGATGTGAAGTTTTAGTGGGACTTTTATTTACAGAATTTTCTCCATTGATAAATAATTTTTGTAATCATTTTTTCTGTGTCATCGCCACAATTTTTATGATCACATATCACATTTCACATATCGTAAATCATTGTATTTTATTATGAACTCCTCATTATACAGATTTTATCGTTGTCGCTGAGCCTGTGTGAACTGTTAATTTAAATATCCTCTAAGTCCTTGTGGGCTGCTGGTCCTCTGGCATTTCATGCTTTTTGTTGGATTTAGTGGTTGCTGTTTGAAACTGTATGGATTGCCTATTAGTTCATGTAGTTGTGGGTTTTATGCTTACTGTTTAAAGAAGCTGAGTTTTAAAGGAACACTTTCTCCAAAATGAAAAATGTCACCGTTGCTACATCTGTTGTAAACATACAGAATTGCTGTATTACATTTTTGGTTAAAAACTAGGAAAATCAAATTCTTGTGGCATATCGTGAAAAAGCTATAGAACAACAACTGCTTTTGAGTGGATTTTTGTGGGGCAGGCTGTTTGAAATGCAGGGCTGTCTAGTTTGGGAGCTTTACTCTGGCTGAAAAGGCATCCATTTTATGCTGAATAAATTCAGAATCACTATTTTCTTCACAATTTTGTCTACACGAATGCTAGCTTTGTTGTATTTATTGGCCTACAGAGGTTACAGTGGTTATGCTAGCAGTTAGGACTGATTTATGCCACAGTGATTTCCAGTGGTTCTATGTTGTATTTGTGTAATGTTGTGTAATTGTGTAATTGTGTAATGTGGTGAGAGAACACTAATGGACAAAAAACGACAAAGGTATACAAAATCATGAATTCTATCAAACTGATGAGGGTTAGAGATGCAATGTTGTGCTACAGAATACTGCATAACACAACAAATACATTGACCCATATAGTTTTAGGCCAGAATGCTACTTTCAGTTGCCTTCAGTTGGTTTGGTTAGCTTTTTCAGTTCTGTGGCTTACCAACAAGCATTCAGTTCTTTGCTGTAAGTGTGTGTTGGACAATAAAGAGCTTTCGTTGGCTTACAGTGCCTTCTGAGCATGCCTCTTCTTTATAGCTACATTACTTTACACTCTCAGAAAAAAGGTACTTTTGTCACTGGGGTGGTACCCTCAGCGGTACATCTCAGAACCTTTAGTCAAGGAACATAATTGTACCATAATCCATTGAAATCATATTTTCTGAGTTGTGTTGACTCCACACCCTGTCTTATCTACAGGCTTTTTTATTTTATTGTTCTGTTTTTAAACATTAGGTTATGAAAAGGTACAAATACCTATATATTATCAAAATAGTAACCTCTGATATTTGGTATTACAAATGAACAGTCATTGTGTTATTAGATGCTTGCTGTGCCGCTTCACAAGAAGTGGATGTGGAGAGAGGGAATGCAAATGAGAAAAGGATAACATTTTTATATTCCCTCTCTTTTTTCCCAGGCCTCCAATGGAGAGACATATGCCATAAGGTAGGTCACTTTCCTCCACTTATGTGCTTATTCCTTATCCCACTCCCTCCCTCCCTCCCTCCCTCCCTCCCTTCTCTCACTCCCTTCCCCCTCTCACTCCCTACCTCCTCTCACTCATTTCCCTCTTACGTGCTTTCTCTCTTTCGTTTGCTTGTGCCTTAGTCTGCACTGAGGTATTCACTGCTTGCTTAAAGCAGCTCTCTTTCTGGTGAGGGACTGGGGAAGGCTCATTGTGATGCATACTGCTGAAAGCGAGGATATAGGCACATGCGCACAGTGATCTGGTCTGAAAATGAGACGTAAAGCCCACGAACGGTAAGACAATAAGGTCTTCAGGAAAACATGCATGCAGGAATGCGTGTACATGTGTGTTTGTTTAAGGATGTATGTCACACAGGCAGTTGCACTCCATTATGAATTAGGGAGTTGGTCCCATATTTTCTTTGATGCTATTTACTTGAAGTCTATGACTATAAGAATTTGATCTCTTAATCTTACAGACTTTATATGTGAGAAGCTGTTATGTAGTATAAGGTCTGTGAACAATGAATCTTAGTCCAAAAAGGGAAATACTGTTTTGGGGACAGAGTTTGCTTTATAGAGTGTTCTTGTGTAAAGGTGGTGCCATTTCAGTTCTTTAAATGAGAGCAAGAACCCCACCTTTCTTCTTTTATCAGAGAGCACACACACACAAAAATTTTAAAAGTTAATGTAAACCCCTTTACTATAGCATATCCTGCAAAATACTGCTGTGTATTTGCCTACACACAAAATATGTTTGCCCAAAAACTGTGTATATTATTATGCATAATAAATGTAACTGGTAAGCAGCTGCAATCAAATAAATCAACCTATGAGAAAGCACACTCTCACAAAATTGAAGACTGGAAAAATGTGGGGTCCAAACTGTATACAACTTTTGGCTAAAAGTAGTAAAAGGTCTGGAAAAAGACATTATGCATCTCTGTGTCTATGGAGATTTCATAACTCCACTTAAACAAAACACTGTCAATCATTCATAATGTCCCATTAAGTTAATGCTACATCATTTCTTACTTGATTATTATTATAATTATAATATTATTATTATATTATAATAATATTATCATGATTATTATTATTATTATTATTATTATTATTATTATTGCCTTCAATCACAGGTGAAGCACCAGATATCCTTGGGGAGTTGTTGATTGTTGAGACTGTTTAGTAAATATGAAATTATCTTTATTATACACATTATGAATTATTGCCTCCAATTTTATGCAGACTTACCATACATGTCACAATGCATCAGTACAAATTTGCCATTACACTGAGTTTTATTTATGTCCAGTAATTTTACGGAGGAATATAAATTTAATAAATACCCTGGAGGAAAAGATCACTAAACTGCGGAAGAATTTGAGAGGCTTACAAGTTCAGAAATCTTGCAAAGCTTGAAAAAAAACCTATTGGAGCTAGATGATGTGCATGGCTATATTTTAAGCTTTTGACAACGTTGGCAACATAAACCATTGATGACTGTGTGCTGGTAGTTTAGCTGCCTAATTCCTCCACATGTTGAAGTTTTAGGACTGTACAAAATTAATACAACCAGTAATCAAGTAAACCATTTGTCAAGGACCAGTTAATAACCATTTTACTTATAATGGTGCATGCTAATTATACTTAGAATTCTGCTCATGTTTTTAGTAAAGATGAACATTTGTCTTGGCCAGTGAAAGTTATGCAACATCACCTCTAGCATAGCCTGTGCCAGAGCAACAAAGCCTCTAGATTACAGGCTTAAACCCTGTCTTAGAACTCAGAACTGTGCATTAGTTTTAGAGAGAGAGCAGGAGAGAACATATGATTAGAATAAATTATGGTTAATTAGATCAGAGGAAAATTTGGATCTTATGAATTGGTTTTGTACACAAACCTCAAAAACCATGAGGTGATGACAGTTGAACGAGGCACATGCCTACATATTGTCGCTACCAGAGGAACATCTCATATCCCCGAAAGGTAACTTTACAGCAGAAAGAAAAAACATCCCTAACTTGAAATAGGAGTTTATGGAGCAAGATCTTATTCTATAACATTGTGGACAATTTTCACTGGTCCATTCATCATGAACTTCTAACACAAATAATAAACAATAAAAAATGAAGTACAAGGTTTTGCTTAAATAGTGATTACATTAATTTTATGATTTTATGAATTTACTCGACTGCACAAATCGAAGCTGTATGACACTGCTGAACTCTCTATGGATTGAGCACATCAACTTCAGTAATGTGCACAGAACTCCCCAGACCAGCTTGTGATTTTAATAACCTTTTTTGCTAATAACTGGTCAATACCTCTTGTGGCCTCTTTTAGTCACCCTCTTGGAACCCCTTTGTCTGTGTGGCTGAGCTGACCTTAGAGCACGTGGCTAGAGGCTGAATTGGAAAAGCGTGTGTCACCCTGCCAGGTTCTGATATCTCGCCCCTTATTAAGAAGGCAGTAATACAGTACATGCCTTTCCACTTTCCTAGACGGCAACTGCAAAATCCTCACTTCAACACCCAAAAACTGGAGCTGCCTCAGGCAACAACACTGTGGATCCCTGAGTAAATGTGAGTGCATGTTGGAGTCTGACAGTAACATAGATTTAACTGAGGGAGAGGCCTGGGGACAGAGGGAAGCAGACAGCAGACAGAGATTCACGCTTGTATGATTCTGTGAAGGGTTGGTTTGAGAACATGTAACAGTGCTAAAAAATTAAATATTCTTCAAACACCTAATTGATACCCACTGTGCTCTACTAGTTTATAAAACTCTGTGGCATCAGGAAGCCTTTGTACATTTATTGCTCTAACTTTATATAGAATCAGTGGGTTTTTATGTAAACATTGTTGTTTATTTGATTGTTTTTGGAGGTATTATGCTTTTTGTTTAGAGCCTTTTTTAAGGCTTTAGCAGTGACAGTGCAGATTTCAGCTGCTATGATGTCTTCCTTAAATGTCTTACTTTCTTTTGTTTTTAAAACCCAGACAGATAATAAAAATGTGTGTTACAGCATCACTAAGTTACATGCTTTAACAAGTGCTATGTGCAGGGCAGTAGTTACTACTAAAGGAATCTGATATTCCTTAATTGAACTGATGTTTAGAAAAAGCTTTGTTGTGCAAGTTAACATCCTCAAGGAATGAACTTTTACTCTGATCATAAAAAGAATTCAGCTTCTCAAAGCAAGATATGAATAAATTAGAATAAATTTGCCTCCATATCTGTAAAGAAGGAGTTCAGAAATGCCTGCATTAGGAAATGTCTTTTTCTGTATGTACTGCTACACTGCAATTATACTGGCTAGTTCAAATAATTGTCATTTGAGATGTTGGCTCTTTATACCTAAAATCACTAGATCTGGTAGGAACTGGTTGTAGTCGTTGTAGGTCATGCTGTCTTGTACTGTAAAGTCATCATTTTTTAGAATATGGGAAGTACATAGGCCTTTGCACCATCAGCATACTCCACTGAGGTGTGCAGAGAAGTGCCTTTTTATTCATGGTAATCATTCTGACACAAGAAGCATAAAACGGGATGCTCCCATTCTGTCATCTCTATTTAATTAGTTGGATATTGATAAGCTGGTATTAGTTGGATTTGCAGAAATAGTTTGTTAGGTAAAGATTATAATGGAAACTGATCATTTACAATTGGTATTATTTGAGACAATTTTCACAATTAAATTGAGGGTTAGGATTAGGCTTAACAGCTATTTTGTTGAAGTCAAAACAGATTCGGCACTTGCAGATTAAAAGGTTGTAGTTTACTTGAGGGCTTTGGAGTATCATAAAGAGCGTATTCATTACAGGCCAGGGTCAAAACCAGAAAACCAAACAGCACGATAACCAAACCAAAACAGACATCCAGAGAGAATCCACTAACCAGTCCATATAAAAAGAAAAAAGAGATTATTATTATTTTTATCATTATTATTATTATTAGGGGTGGGAATCTCTTGGCACCTCACAATTCGATTCGATTACGATTCAGAGGGCTGCGATGCGATTATAAAATGATTATTGATGCATCTCCATGCATCTTTTTTTTTCTATATAGCATTTATATTTTCTCACTGTGTGAGTTCAAGTTTATTTGTCATTTGCACAACATGTCAGGACATTTATGCATTGAAATGCTTGTGGTGAGGCTCAGCTAATCACTCTACAGAAAGTAAATAAGTAAAAATAAAAATACAAGAAAAACCAACTGAAATATATTACATCTACACAAAATATACACAAAATATACACAGAATATAGAGACAATATACATTTTAAAGTGACTAAGTGACTCGGTGTTATTGTTATTAAAGTGACTTGGTTCTTTTAAAGCAAAGTATTTGTAATGATCCATAATGAATTTACTTCCAATATCTTTTTTAATAAAACAAATGGAAGTGATGTGGCAAGTGAGCTAGAAGGCTCTCATTCAGTGCTCTTGTTTGGAGCACGAGAAGCTGCTGCTACTCATCTGCGATAAAATGCGCAGTTACGGTGAAATAAGATCCAGTGGTAATGGATGTCCACACAGCACATGTTACAGCTATTCTACCCGTTTTCTTTAGTGATTTTATAACTTCGGTTTTGGTCTCGTTGTAGAGAATGGGGTCGCTGTGTCAGTAAAGTATCTTTGAGACGGGGCGTGTGCAACATAGTGCGAAAGCCCTGCTTCGCAATGACTAAGAACCGGCGTGCAGACTGCAGGTCACCTAGCAACGATGCGTTATTCGCATTTATAAGCAGCGCAGTTGGTTTCCTGGTACAATAAATCTGCAACGAGAGACTGTCACACACTAAAAAGTGGCGAAGCTCTTTCGAATTGTCCTGTTCCACCTTCACATTCACATTCGGCGCCTCAGTTAGAATTTAAGGTGGAACGGGTAAATTCAAACAAGAAGCTGGAGAATAAGAAGCGACTTCAGCCTCGTAAAACAGTCGAACGCTGAGAGACATTTAACTGATCTACTTCTAAGGAAAAGTTTTCTGGCGGAGATGGGAGGAAAGCGGCTATAGCTGAGCTAAAGCTTAAAGAAGAGCGAAGTAAATCTGCGTTTTCGTTTATATTGTTTAGTCTATACTAGGACATTATCACATACTGAGACATACTGGACATTAAATGTTGTGGCTCCCAAGGTGGTTTGATTTTTGTTGAAAGGACAAAATGGCTCTTCTTAACATTTGTGTTGTGACTCCTGACCTAACCTGGCTTTAATGCAGAGGGAGCCGCTCAGATTTCTCGATCATCCATGTGTGTTTTTGTTATGTGCCGCCACAGAC